CTGGAACAACTAAGACGTGGAAAATGCAAAGATGGTGGCCCACCCTTCCCTTTGGCAGCTCTCTTTTCAAAAGAAGACATACATGTGGCTAACAATCATATGAAAAAAGCTCAACATCACTGATCATTAAAGAAATACAAATCAAAACCACAATGAGATATCATCTAACACCAGTCAGAATGGCTATTACTAAAAAGTCAAAAAATAACAGATGCTGGCGAGGTTGTAGAGAAAAAGGAATGCTTATATGCTGTTGGTGAGAGTGTAAATTAGTTCAGCCATTGTGGAAGACAGTCTGGCAATTCCTCAGAGTCCTAAAGACAGAAATACCATTCGATCCAGCAATCTCACTACTGGGTATATACCCAAAGGAATATGAATCATCCTATTATAAAGACATATACACACGTATGATCATTGCAGCGCTATTCACAATGGCAAAGACATGGAAGCCCATCAATGATGGACTGGATAAAGAAAATGTGGTACATATACACCATGGAATACTACATAGCCATAAAAAAGAACAAGATCATGTATTTTGCGGGGACATGGATGGAACTCGAGGCCATTATCCTTAGCAAAATAACACAGAAACAGAAAACCAAATATTGCATGTTCTCACTTATGAGTGAGAGTTAAATGATGAGAACACATGGACACATAGAGGGGAACAACACACACTGAGGCCAGTTGAAGGGTGGTGGGTGGGAGGAGGCAGAGGATCAAGATAAATAACTATTGGGTACTAGGCTTAAAACCTGGGTGATGAAATAATCTGTACAACAAACCCCCATTACATAAGTTTACCTATGTAACAAACCTGCATGTGTACCCCTGTACATAAAATAAAAGTTAAAAAATAAAATAAAATAAATAAAAACTCAAGAGCAGCGTGGCCGTCACTGTAATTATTATCATTCAGGTTTTTTGTTTTTTTTTTTTAAATCAAATGACTCCTTCATGCCCTGCTTCTTTTCCATTTTAATTCCTACCACTCCTCATCTATTCATGTTCAGCTTATTGAAACCTATTTCCAAAGAGCTCTCCTGGCATCATGTTTCCTATGCTCCAATCCTCCTCCACACTATGCCCAGGAGGAACCCCCTAAAGTATGGATTTCCACAGTCAGCTCCTGGTCAGAACCGTTTTGAGCCCCCTGCTATCTAGCCGCTGAAGAATAAATTCCTTTAAAGCTTCTACAACCAACCTTATTCCAGCATTATCATCCAAAATCCCCTAGAATACCCTCCATGGAATACCCAATATCCCTCCTTTCTTTCCAGCTACACATAAAAACAGCCCATTCAATTTCACTTCCTAATTCTTGGGCTTGATATTCCCCCTACTTCAGTGTTTCCCAAACTTCACTCATTCTGGTACCTCATCATGATTTTTCCACTACCAATTGCCACCTGAACTACTTTTTGCTTAATATTTCCTGTAAATTCACTCTTATTTTAAGTAAGATAAATACTTGAAAGGTTAACTTCTATTAGTACCATAAATGAAAAAAAGGGATATCTATTGTAATAAATAGGCAATAACTATATATAAATGTTATTTTAAAGGAGCAATCATATTAAACCAAGTACTTTTTGCCTGCTAACATTTATTGCTTATTCTGTGAGTGTTATAAAGGAAGCTTAAACAAGTGTTAGGAGAACTTTAAGTCACATCAAAAACAACAAAACTTATTTATGAATAATTGAAAGTAAGTCAAAAAATAAAACATTCTCAACCTGTCATCTTAATGTTATTGATTGATCAGTCCATCTGTTCCCAAAAATCATTTAATGTACACAAAGTTTGGAAAACACTGCTGTACATGAGATACTTTCATTACCTTTTCCTGCCGATCTCAACTCTGCACATTTTCCCACACCTGCCTAAAGTTCCACCACCTCCCACAATGTCCTCTTGAAATTCAGGGCACTGTGACTGCCCCTTCCTCTGGCAGCCTGGGTACGCGTCTCTTCTGTGTTTTAGGAAGTCACTCCACTCTGCTTTTTAATGACTCATATACATCTCTCAAGTTTATTTATTTATTTATTTATTTGGTCTCCAGTAATTATAGCCGAAAGAAAGGTTTTTGAAAGTGTCTTTTTAATCCCCTGATACTGAGCATCACACCTTCTGTGGAGTGACTCTATGAACAGCATGAGTGACTAATGAATTGGCACTTACTCTCTTTAACTATTTATGAGGACATATCTCTGCTAGTAGATAAGGATCCCCTCAAAGGCTGTGCATGAGTTTCTTCTAGCCTCTAAACTCAGCCCAGTGGGAGTATATTGCAGGATTGCTAGAAATATTTGTCAAATGAGTAAACGACACTTCCTAGAGACACTACACCATAGACAGCATTTGACAACAACAAAAAAGAAGCCGTCCTTTTAGAAGCATACTGTGTTCAGTGCCTCTGCAGCTTTCCTCTACCTTTGGAGAATTACAAGTTTCATTCTAATGCTATCCTGGACTTGCTGACATAGTGTTTACTTTTATTAATATATGGCATATCACATATAAAACTCTGCACACTCATCTAAAATGCTAGTTGTTATCACCTTCAGTTATCACCAAATACCATAAGAGATCTTTAGTCTTAATAGACACCTAGGCATATGTGTGGTCTTTCAAGAAAGAATTATCTAAAAATTCAACAGACATGTCTTCAAGTTCAAAATCAGTATAATTCCAAAATGTCTTTTGTCTTCCAAATCAGCCAATACATTTTAAGATAAGATGGTGTTTAACAAACTTTGCCTTAATAGTTTATATTATCTCTAAAATACAAACAGATAAAAATATTCCATTTGTAAATTAGCTACAAGGAAGTTGAGACAACTGGAATAAATAATATTTTTGCTTTAAGTTTTAAAAATGAGTCATAACTAAAGCTTTTAAGCAAATTGTAACTAATAATTGTGACTTCATAATTTCTAGATTCTGTACACTATCCATGAAATCATATTAAAAATCACTATTATGAATAAATGATAGTCATGTAATTAAGTTAATGGGGGCATAAAAGAATCACTTTAAGAATATACCTGAAACTCATTATTATCACCTAGTAATTGCTATGTAAAAACCAGACATTAACAAAGATAAGTTAATAACAATCCTAAATTAGACCCACGGAATATAGACTTAAGACATTTTTAGGTAATTAGGAAGACCTTTAATAAATGGAAGGCATTGGAATTTTCACTACATGCTTTTTGATCTTAAAAATAAATTTTTTAAATCTATCTTTCTTAATTGTGGTAAAAAACTTAACATACAATTTACCGTCCTATTTGTAAGTGTTTACACTTACAAATTGTAAATTCAATAGTATTAAATATATTTACGTTGTTGTACAGTCTCCAAGTGTTTTCATCTTGTAAACTGAAACTCTATATCCATTAAACAACTCTCATTTCTCCGTCCCCCAAGCCCTTGGCAACTACCATTCTACGTTTCAGTTCTGTGAATTTGACTACTCTAGATACTTCATGTAAGTTGAATCATACAGTATTTGCCTTTTTGTTTCTTTGGTGTGTTTTCCAAGCTTAATTGAAACTTAACTAGGATGAAGCCAAGTTACCCTCCATCATTTATCGTCCATCTATTCAGTACAACCCACTGTGCTAATTTAATGTTATCAACCTTATGAAGTAGGTTATGTGCACTTTACAGATGAGGAAACTGAGACTTCATGAGGTGAAACATCTTGTCAATGGTCACAAATCTAATAAGCAGTGGGGCTGCTGATTGCAACTTTATCTAACTTCAAAACATAGTCTCTTAAACATACCTGTATGCTTTTTGAACTATTTAAACTTTTTAGGGGATTTCAGCCATCTACATATTTTAAGCAACTCAGAGTGCTTTGTTTTGTTTTTTGCCTTTGATGGTTAATGCCACATGGGTTCCTGCTTTTTAAAAATAAACTACTTTATTCTAAACCATGTCTCAAGGTATTATTCTATTCTATGTCATGAGGTTTATTCTAACACATTATTCTAACTATGTCATGAGGTTTATTCTAATACAGAATAAGTTACCTTCCCTTTATTTAAAAGCAAGACTTGATATAAGCGGTTGGTTTGTTAAATTTTTCTGGAAATGATACAACTTCCTAGTGTGTAGCACATATCAATAGTGGAAGGAATATTATTTTTTAAAAAGCAGCACTTACATTTGTGGAAGTGAGCCCCAGCTTCTTCAGTTCAGACACATGGTTTTAGTGAATAGAAGTCACTCTACCAAAACCGGCTACTCTTCAAACACGCCTTGCTCCATATGCAGGCAGGCAACTGCACCCCTGCTTCCTGAGCCACCTGGGACTTGAAGTTCTACCGGTGTGGCTCCAAGGCTGCCCAACCAGAAACCCCAAAAGGCAAGAGAACTACGATACCCACAATTCAGGCTCCTCACCCGAAACCAGAAGAGGGCGTATGGCTAGAGTTTCACCCTAAGAAGAAAGGGGAAGCAGGTGGAAAAGCAATTAAAAAAAAAATCTGGTGAGTATATCTAAGAACAATCTGTAAATATAATCTTATTTCTATGAAAGGAAATAAAAGTGGTTTAATGTTTGCCAGGGAGTAAGAAGGCACCCTCAGTCTTGGCAATAACTGAAAAATATTTATGCAAACAAATCCTCATGCAGCTGGAACTTGCCCCACCAGATTCTCTTTCGGTGATTCAGAGCTGAGAGTGCCTCACTGCCCTGTGGAACAGGTGAATAAAGTCTTCCCCGGTGAGTGACAGTGTCTAACTAGTTCCCCCTACATCAGCACTGTGACTATCACTCAAAAGGTGCTGAAAACATAATGGAGACCTTTTTGGCATTTCACCTTCTAAAGTGCTCTGGATTTTTAAAATAACACTTTAAAATGTAAGAATAAAGTTTTCTTGCTATTTTCTTCCATTTTACTTTCCATTTCTGTGTTTTGTGTTTTACTTCTGTATATTTCAGTATTATTTTGTTCAAAATTCAAGAAAGAGAAAATTAGAGGGAAGGGGAAAAAAAGTAAAACTTAGTAAAATGCAATGTGCAATAATTGTTTCACATTTTTTTTCCCAAAATCAGCAACAGAGAATGTTAAAAACAAATGTGTTTCTCCATTTGCTCATACAGCATCTCCCTCTAGCCTATTATTTCCTGTTAGACACAGCCCAGAAAACGAATAGAGACAAGTCCTGGCTGGGTCTGGGTTCAGAAACATAATAGAAGGATTCATCTAAAGTAAGTAGATGGCAGAATGACATCTGCCATGTCATTCTGAGTGACAAAGAAAAAGTTTCCTTTCCCTTTTCTGCACTTTCTCTCCTACTGTTCTAACTGCCTCTTCCTCCCTGATGCATCCCGGGCTGTCATGCTGCCAAATCACCTAATCTACCCAGATTCCCTTTGAAGTTTCCCCTTGACTCATCCCACAATCCACACTGAGCTGTTCTGTTCTCTTTGTCACAGGTTCCTCAACTCTCTACTGGAATCTAGCTTTCCTTTATGTCATTATATTTTCTGCCAAAACAAATGGTTCTTAATTTACCCAGACCCTACAGATGGCGTTCTGCACGGCGTTTCTCCTCCCTGAAACTATCTTTCCTCATCTTTAAATGTTCAGAGATTTCATTTTTTCCAAAGCTCAATGAAAAACACTCTTCACCAAGATGTCCTCCTCAGTTTGTCTTAATCTGAGTTATTCTCTTCCTCCTAATCAATTTCATAATGTTGTATCTGCTCCTCTCATGACACATTGTGTATCTCGTTTCATTGGTTTACGCGGGTGTGTGTGTGTACATATGCAGCCTTACATTCCTATTTGAAGGCAAGACTTTGTTGTATCCCCACCTCATTAACTCATTAATGTATATGTAAATGTTTGTGATAAACAATCAATGCATAAAATAACTGAGATATTAACTCTAAGGTGTGTGTGTGTTAATGCCTAATGCCATTTTTATCTCTCCCAGAAAACATTTACATTTAAAAAACTCTCTAAATGCCATGCATGATGAGTACTGTTATCAGAATCCCCCTGCGGTCTAGTCTGGTGTGGCTCCCACAGTCTTTATTTGCAGAAAGGCAAAGTATTAAATCTAGCAATTGAAACCTTGACAGTACCCAAAATGAACGCCCTAGTGGGTCAGCACTCACTGTTTACCAGCTCCAATCCCTGCTGTGCACTTGCCTTTCTAACAGCTTCCCAAGGACTGGGCTCCCTAGAGTCCTCAGTCCCATGGTCTTGGAGACCTGGCCCTACCTCTATCTATGATTTCTGATTATCAACTCCAACATTTATGGATCCCTTCCCCTATTATCTAATCTACTGGCTCTAAAGAATAAACTCTGCACTTTGGACTATTTAAATAGTTCTTAACCATTGATCTCCTCCCCCAGGGAAGGGAATTCTTTCAACAGTTGCTAGTTCCCCACACCTCTGCTTCTATGGGATTCTTCTGGTCCCCACATGCTCTGCTGTGTCTTCTAGCTGTCAGCCACTGTGGAGGAAGTGAACCTTCTAGATCCTGCTGACTTATACAATGAGTTTTGTGTCGAACATCAGACAAAAGGGCTGGCTGGTGAAGGTGGCTGTTGTCTGGAAAGTCCTCCCAGCTCTCCTCTAATTATGTCATAAGGACTGGAGGCCCCTTAGCCTGCTTGTGTGAGTATCACCAGCTATGTAAAGTTGGGGCCTTAGCTCATCCTCAGCACATGGCTCAGGATCACTTCCTTAAGAAAGTCTCTTCTGACCTCCTTACCCCTACCATGTTTCTTGTACTGACTTATGCAATGGTTACAACCAACATAGAAGCTGAAATCCCAATGACTTACTGTCCCAGCTGCCCTTGTAGATAAGGGAGAGGCAAAGCACTTAGAATGGCAATCAGACATGGCTATCTGGGACCAGGGATTAGGAACTGATGACACAAAGAAGCAGTGACAGAAGAGAACCCACTGTTGTGGTGAGCAGAGGCAGCTGTGCAAACAACATGCTGTTCCGGATGTGACTGTGGTGGCCGTGGGGTTCAGAGTCCAGGGCTCATGGCGTTGGTCATGCAAATTGTGGTTCCTGGGTCTTAGCAGAAACAAGGAACCTATTCAGTGGCATTGCTTTGGCTGCTGCTCTGACTTCATAAGCCATGTGCCTGATTCTTCAGCCCCTCCCAGCAATTCTGGGACTGAAGTTTGGTGTGTTGCTCTTCAGTTTGGATCTGCCACAGTCATTTGCTGTTGCTTGAAGCCAAAAACTCTGAGTGATAACTACCTCTCACACAACTCTTACCACATTGTCACTACCTATCCCAGTATATTTAGACTCCATCAGATCAAGTACTGGATTTTACTTATCTCTAAATATCCTAAATCTCCACAGTGCCTGGCTATAGTACATGTATATATATTTGACCTACATTAAACTGGTCAATGAAATGAGGAAGTCTTGCTTAAAGTTCCTTCTAACTTAAAATTTGCCTGACCACATGGAAGCTGTCAGGTTGCTTATTAATGCAGAGGTAATTTTTTTCTCTTAACTAGGGTTAGAATTTAGACTCTACCCCTTCTCTGTATCTCAGAGGGAGCAGAACTAGTGATTTCCTACGCTGGAGAGAGAACTCAAACACACAAGCTATTGTTTGTTGTTATTTAATAATCAAAAGGATTTTTGTTTCCTTTTTTCTTTTCTTTTTGTTTTTTCTTTTTTTGTAGCCTTCAGTGACCTGTGTCGTATGTTAAAGTCACCATGTTTGCCCCCTGTAGTACAAATATACCAGAAAGAGTGATAGGAAACAGCATATTCCCCCCTTGTTCAGATTTTTCTCAGTATGACATTATCTTGGAAAAAGAAAGGCCACATTTGCAAACTTGGAAGAAAGTTCCCCCTGGAGTTTTTTCTCTGTCCTGTTTCAGTATGTATTGACACTCAGAACCTGGGCTGCTATGACATCCGTTTTCTGGGTCACTTTGTCCCTGAGTCATTGTCATCCTGTAACTTTCTGAAAACATTTGACTATGCCATTTACCAGTTAATTTCAGTGACTAGCTTAAATCATAGTAAAATGTTAGGGCCAGAGTAAATTTAGCTCAGATTGATTTTATTTCCCCAGATTAAGAAAGTGAGCCAAGTTGTTGTAACAATTTCATAGTTTCCTTCATTACATTTTTTGGAGCTTTACTTAACCGTAAGATGAATCATCCATAAATTGACCCCCACAAAGCTGTGGCTTAGATGTTCATCACTCTTTTCTGTCATTTGTTGCTTTCAGGATAACACGCAAGGAAATATGGGCCAACTCTTCACATGAGCACAAGATATTTCCATGCTAGCCTTTTGCAAGTAACAGCAGAGAGAGCTCTGTGCAGTTTTTGCTGGAATGCCTATGAATTACTTGAGTCATAATCGTAATCTAAAGAGTTGTCCATTTGTTGACTCTTTTGTATTTGTATTGGTAGAACTGCCACTATCAAAACCAAGATCACTCTTTGGGAAGATCTTTAGCTGTCTTTATATCAACTTCTCTGGAGTTTATGTGATTTTCCAGAAAATTTCCAAGGCATAGTTTTGTCCCTAAGTCCCATGAATATGTAATATTTTGTGTCTCTCTATTAAAATAGCACTTTTTGTGCATTCAATTAACCAATATATGTGTATGTGTCTGTGTGTGGACAAACATATTAATTACTTCACCCACTTTAGTGGGAAAAATAATTTTCTCTAAGTTTCTGAAATACCAGATAGTGAGTAAGTTCTTTAATGGAATATCAATGTTTAATTATATTCTATAAAGCTCACAATCTAGAAACCCAAGACAAGGGGGTGCCGGATATTCCTAATTCATTTTCTAATATGTTTAGATAATAGGCTTCATTATCTCTCTATCTCTCTATCTATCTATGTAAATATCTTGCACATTTTTAAATTTTGCACAAGAAAATGCAAAACTTTTAAAATATATTAACATCTATTCACATACTTTTACGTCTGTGGACACCATCAGTGGGATTTTACGAGTAAGTAAATTTTTCTGACAATTGGAAACTCTGCAAGAAAGAAGCAGTACATTTTATATCCTGGTAATATTGTCTCTTATTTTTCATGTACCTAGTAAGTGTTATGCCACAGTGAAGTTTATTCTCTAACTTGAGATTAAAAGGTTGAATACAGAGACACAGGGAGGTTCACTGACAAGGGGCCAAATCCCAGTGTTCTCTGACATAGAAGAGGAATGCTTTAAGTTACTCATTCAATACCCCATAAGAATTTCCACCTTGGATGTTGTAGTCTACATAAGGCTGGCTTCTTGTATTTTTACACATTCTTTTGGTGCTAACATGTTCATTCTAACTGTATTAGCTTTCAATTGCTGCTGCAACAGGTTACCACACATTTGGTAGTTTAAACCACACAAATTTAATGTCTTACAGTTTTGGCAGTCAGGAGGCTGCTACAAGTCTCACTGGGCTAAATTCTAGGTGTCAGCAGGATCATATTTCTTTGTTTCTGGAGGCTCTAGGGTAAAATCCATCCCCTTGCCTTTTCCAGCTTCTAGAGGCCACCCACATTTCTGGGGGCAGATTTCTTTTTCCCTCTTCAAAGCCAGCAGCTTCAGGCTGAGTGCTGTCTTGTCGCTTCTCTGATCCTTCCGTCATCACATCTCTTTCACTGACTACACCCAGGAAAGCTTCTCTGCTTTGAAGGACTCATTATCACATTGAGGCCACCTGGATAATCTGGATCAGCCCCTTCCCACTCACCATCTCAAGGTACAGACCCTTCATCACAACAGCAAAGTTCCTTTTGCGATGTAACATATTTACACCTACCAGGGATTGGGGCGAGGACATTTTGGAGGGGCCATTGTTCATCTACCATACAGGGTTACTTCCTCAGGAAATTCTCCATGTAACATTCTAGGTTGGAGTTGAGTCCTGTATAGGCTACCCATTGAGGAAAAGAGACCGTCTCTTAATTTGCTACCGGACCTGTGTTAGAAGAAGATGTATGATTGAAGAAGCATAAAGAAAGTCATGGTGTCCCCAAAACATCACCTGCCTCTGGGCTGTCACTTATTATTTTATCATGATAGACACATGATTCAGTTTCAAACATGGTTTGCTCTCAAAAACAATTAAATTAGATTAGTTAAACAAGATGATACTAAAACAGAAATACAACCTAAAGGGACTGCCATGGCAAGGATTCATCAATTGACATGTTGGCAAGTGTAAGTTTATGAACAGGGCTAAGTGGAGAAGGATAGGGGAGAACTAAATGGAGGAATATTTATTCGCAGAAATAAATGCAGGAATCTGCTTGCATCAGAAAGAATTGCCTCTCACACATGTGGTTCCTTTCTCCTGAAAGAACCGAGCCATGGATACAATTTTCCTTGCCCGGTACTATGTGACTCCATTGCCCTAACTCACCACAGATGATTGACCACAGATCACTGGGTGGAAAATTGATGTTCAAACCAAAACTGGCCATCTGCAACTAGATCAGGATTTTTTAAACTGCATTGAAAGTAATGGCAAAAACTGCAATCGCTTTTGCACCAGCCTAATATATTTGGCTAGTTTGTGGATCATTAGTCAATTTAACAACATTTTTAAGTGAAATAGAATAAATTGAAATAGAATGGAACTGAACAGATGAAATGAATAGAGTACAATAGAATAAATCAGAATACATTGAACTAAAAAGGGTAAGTATTGTTTCAGGAACTGTTCATTCTAATGTGTATGTGAGTATATGTGTGAGTGTGTGTGTGTGTCTATGTGTGGTGTGTGTGTGTGTCTTTGAGTGTTGAGTTCAATATAAAGTGATTTCCTTTCTGTAGGCAAATTTGAGAACTATACAGTTAGATAGTGGGCTTATAAAATAATCTAGCATGAAAGCCATGTCTTATTAGAATATTTTTGTACGGGATAGTAACCAACTAACTAACCAATCAAACACGCAAGCAGAAAACTTAAAGTAGAGGTACAAACTCTGGAGTATTGCAAAACCAGGATAAGCACCATGACAAGACAGAAAGCAGAAACTACAAACTAGTCAAAAGTTTGCTGTGGGAGCAGAGAGCAGCAGGGTGGAGGGCTGGTGATGGGCAGTGGCAGTAGAAACAGACAGAGATGGAAACAGAATAAGAGAAAAGCTAGTCACAGGAATGGTAGGATCCCAGAATGAGGCAATATTAGACACCCATTTATAAAGGCAAGGCAAGGTGAGCTGTTATTCTTACATTCAACAAATACTTATCGACTGCTTACTGTGCACCAGGGACCTTTCTAAGAGCTGGCCATATTGCACTGAAGAAAATAAACACAAATCTATGGTTTCATGAAGTCTGCATTATAGAGGATTGTACTAAGAGTTATATTCTAACCTATACTTAAGTTCTTCCTGATTGTGCACATGTGTTAGTGACTTATTGTGCTTCCTAAATGTGTTCCCCATCCTTTCAACACATCTTCGTTATTTTTATTTCTTGCAACATGAAATAAGCTAAACAATGTGGCCCAAATAAAAGTGAATAGCTGAGAGTTTTGCCTAGGGTCAGTTCTCAATGTAGAAAAGTCTTATTTTAGTGAATGTAAAGCCAGAGTTTATTTCTTCTTGTGAATAATGCTAGGGTCAGAAAAGAAGAAAGAATTAAATTAAATATAGCAAAAGTATCATCATTGTTTCTTCTTTAATCATTGCAGAATTAATTAATTTATTCATTAATGTTCCAATAATTGATTCTTTATAAGGAGCCAAGAATTACTTATTCGTCAACATTTGCCTAACACTTTAAGCAATTCTCGAGGCATATCCCTTCCGTCTTTTTAAGAAATATTTAACATCAAGTATCTCTTGTGTTTTTAGTATATTTTACCTCTTTCTCTCCTTTGAATCCTTCCTATCCATACATCTCTCCAGTGTCCTCCATTTTACAAAAATAACAAACATTTACATCTCTCTCAAGCAACTATGATCATCTTTGCTTCCTATCACTGATTAATGTTTCGACAGAATCTCTCCATATACACTTGCTGTTCATTTCCTTATCTTCTCAGTCCTCAGCCCTTTCTAATCGGACTTCTCCCTTCATCAAGTTCTCCTTATGGCCATTTTTCTAAATTCAATGAATTTTTTTTTTCAATCTTTATCTTTCTTAATTTCTCAGCAGATGTTCAGACTTGTCAGAATAGTCTAAATTGTGCTACAGATTTTAAAAAAAAGCAACAAGCAAAAAACTTACAAAATCTCAGGCACAGGACATAAGATATTTATCTCTTGCTCAATTTGCCTGTCTATTGAGAAGTAGTGGGAGAACTTTCTCTTAATCACTCAAAGACTTAGACCGTCTGAGCAGCCTTCATTTTGAACACTGGTGTCTTCATAGAGGGACAACTCTGGTAAACTCTACATAGGCAATTATAAATTCTTCCCAGAATCAACCCACATCATTTCTGCTCACAAGTCTTTTGCCAAAACTAAACACGTGGTCACACCTACCCACAGTGGGCCAGTAAGTAGATGTTCCCATGTTCCCGTAGGCAGAAAGCTGGAAAAAGGCGATGAGCTGGATGCAATTTCGACGGTGAAGTTCACTGATCATGCCTTGGAACTTACTCTCCCTTGGCATCTAAGAAACCACACTCTCTCAGTGCCTCCCCTCTCCCTGTGGCTGATCTTTTTCTGTCCTTGCAGCCTCACTCTCCTTCCTCTGCTCAGCTTGCCCTAGCACCTCATATCTTTCCCTGAGCAATCTCCCCCTTGTCACTGCTTCTATTACCCTCCATTCATTAACAATTTTAAATCCGTGTCCCAGTCTTTCTCTGAGCCCCAGAGGCAAATATCCAGCTCTGTTTCTTTGCATCTCAGTTTTAAACTGGACTTGTAAATTAGCCCCCAAATGTTTGCTACTTCAGCGAGTGTGGTCCCATGAGCCACTCAATTTTGAAAGCCAAAATCCCAGTACCCATCCTTCTTTCTGCTCCTCTCTCCCCTCATATCTAATCTATCACCCCCTGCTGTCAGGTTTACCTCCTAAGTAGATCTCACCTGTATTCCTCTTTCCATGTGCACTGACGCTGCCCTACTCCAAACTACCCACATTCCTTACCTGGAATACTACAGTAACCCAGCTGTCCTCTCCGTATCCATATTGGTGTTCAATAAATCATTTCTTACATTGAAAATAGTTCCCCCCCCCAAAAAAAAGTAAATGCAATGCTTCTGCTTTAAAATTCTTAAATAACTTTCCTTTGTTTTCAGGGTAAAGCTGAATTCCATATTTGGCCAATAAGCCCTTCCGTGGTCTCTTGAGTTCCTTCCTATCTCTCCATTCTCATCAAGCATCTTTTTAATAATTTGCTCTGCTCCAGAGGACCTATTTGAGTTCTTGGAATTTTCTCAGCTTTCTTCCACTGAAGAAATGAAATGTTGTACCTCAAATGCTTTCCTCCCTCTTTACCTTTGGATTTTGCCCTTCCACAGAAAAGCCTTCTTTAGAGTGTCTATAAAAAGAGTTTAATTCCACAACAATTACTGACTGGGCACAGTGGCTCACACCTATAATCCCAGCACTTTGGGAGGCCAAAGCGGGCAGATCACTTGAAGTCAGGAGTTCGAGAACAGCCTGGCCTACAT